ATAAAATGCTGAAGTGGTAGGTAGATGCAAGATAAAGGTAGAAAACATAATTTAGTGCTGTATGAGGGCAAATGCAGATGCTCAGGTGTGTGCCTGTAGACTAAGTATTAATCCAAGCTAGACAAGGGCAACAAAACATCCACGGATGCAAAAGATTTCTCTCAAACAGGGGGGGTGAGGTTCTAAGCCTCCCCTCTATTGGTCCCCAATTTCTCACCTGATGGCCCCCCCATCTTTTCCTTTTTTTAATTGCCTTTGTGTATTTCTTTGCAGGTGGTCTCTTCCCATGGCGATGTCCATTTGCCACCGTGGTACTGGTATGGCCTTGAGTGCAGGTATGTATATGTTTTGATGAACACGTGCACATGCACGCACACACATGCTTCTTTGAAGAACTTGCTATTTCTGTGGCTCTTGGCACTGCCTCCTTTGCAGGTCAGCAACTTGGTTTAGAGAAAATGATGAGTCCGTTAGAGCTTATTGTTCATTCATTCCTTTGAATTTCATTCACCAGCAGAACTGGTAGCTCAAGTGCAGGGATCCTGTATTTAGGAGCTACTGCTGAGACATTGGCATAAATTATCTAAAGCTGTGTCTCTGCTATTCATAGCAGATTCGTTTTGTTAATAATCAAGTAAAGATAAGAACTGTCTGGCTTTGATGTTTTCATTCCTTTGGCTGGTAAAGGGATGATGGAATCCAGGCATAAGGATGATTGTGGCCTGGGAATCTGTGTATAGCTTCTGGTTTTAATTTACTTGACCTGAAATAATATGATAAATTTCAAGATTAGGTTATTCTAACTAAATTCATAGTTACTTTATTTCTGCTTACTTAGATTCTTATAATTTTTAGATTGATGCTTTCTGCTTAGTTTGGTAGTATCGATGAAAAAATTTAATCCTAAAATCACTGGAAGAACAAGATTAGTTTGTTTATTAGGCTGTAGTTTCCCTTATTATCTCAGCATTTATCATCACTGAATAAATAAATAAAAAGGATGTTGGCTTTTTCATGGACTATGACAAAAAAGTATTAGTTTGCTAAACATGACGAAAGTTGAATATACTTTTCACAACAATACTTAATTGTTCATTTTTTTCTGTCTTTACCTCTTTGAATGACCTTGTATTCATCAGAATTTTTATCCTATTTTTTCCAAACATTCTGTAAATCTGTGATAGAATGTAGTAGTTGTTTTCTGTAGCTACTACTATTACCGTGTTTCCCTCAAATGCTGAAGGCCCCTTCTTCAAAACTGGAAGGGAACAGATTTTTACTAGGTAGGTGACCTAAGCAACTTAGTTAAATCTCTGAATCTCAGTTTATTGCTTGTAAAATTGGCATATGAATAATTTCTATCCCAGAATTGGTGGGATTTCAAGAAACTGCAGTGTAGAACTGACCTATGGAAACAGGGATGAGAAGTGTGGTGAATTCTTATAGTGACGGTCTCTGAGAAGTAGCTGTGCGTTGGTCCAAATGGCAAGAAGAATTGGATTGTGGGGCCTGAAGTGAAGTCAGTCTCAGCAGCTGCAGTCTTTGCGTTCTTGTGGCTTTTCTCCAATCTGGTTTTAACACAACAGCAAGAAAAATAAAAATCTTTTGAAAATAAATTGAATCATGTCACACTTAGAATCTTTCTATCACTGCATTTACCTTTGCACTTAGATTAAAATTCACGCCACCATGGCCTAAAATGCCCTGCCTGATCTGGCCCTTGCGTGACTCATCTCTGCCATTCCTCCCCTCCTCTGCTCTAGCCACACTGGTCTTTAAATCCCTTAGGACAGGGAAAACTCTCTCTCCCCCCAGGGCCACTGCATGTTTTGTTCCCTTGATCTGAAATGCCCGTCCCTGCCCCTTGCTGCACTGTGCAGAGTTAGTTCCTGTTTAGATCCTGTAGGTCTCAGCAAAATTGTCAACTCGGAGTACTTTGCTTACCACAGTATGTAAAGTAGTAGCTTCTAGTTCTAGTGCTGTTGTTGATTTTCTGTTTCACAGCATTATTCCTTTATAGTTCTCATTGCATCAGTTGCTTCTTTCATGGCATTTATTACCTAATTTACAATTATTTTATTTGCTTTTTATAAATCTCTTTTGTTGGACTGTAAACTCTTCGCAGAGTGGGGAACTGCATCTGATTTGCCATTTGTGGCACCCAGTAGGTGCTTAGTCTCTACTAAGTGAATGTATCCATATAAATCACTTTGCTCATAGTAGTCATTTCAGAAGTGTTCATTCTTCCTACTTTCTAATTAATCTGTTGTGCATTAGAAATTGGATAGTATAATAATAGCTTCTACCCTCAAGGGCAGAGGAGTCTAAGGAGTAAGACAGATATTTATAATGCACTGTGATAGCTTTGTAATACAGACGTGAGGTCCCAGGGGAGAAACCAACTCTGAAGGAGTTGGAAAGCTTGGAAGAAGGCTGAACAGGAGAGATCATGAAGAGGGGGCAGAGGAGGACATTCCAACAGAGAGACTGCCTCACGCAAAGCTGCGGGGATTGGAAAGCGTCCAGAGTAACTGGCTCATGATGATCAGCTCTGGTTGTTTGAGAATAGTGTTTATGGGAGAAGTGGCAGAAGATAAGGCTGGAAAGTGCACCAAATGGTAGAGGACTTTGACTGCCATGCTGACAACTTGGAAAGACTGTGGGAAGTCATAAAAGGTTCATGTTCTTGTATGTGCCAGTAACAGGACAAGCTGGCCCAGACAAAGTATTCATTTGAACTGTAGAGATATTGTGGAAACTATGTAAATTCTAAAAGCACATTGAATTAAACAGCATGATGGCACTAGTTTGACTTTAAACTAGAATTTATTGAAAAAGATTGTTTATAAACAATTTTTTAAAACATGAGAAGAGATGCTAGTAAAACTCTTCTGTTCTTTGGTTCTGTAGGGATTAAAATACTCATGATTTTTCATAGTGACAGATTAAAATACCATATTAAGTTCCAGCTATAAATCAGGGTTTCTGTGACCCTGTCAGGTTTGATAATTTGCTAGAACAGCTCGCCAGAACCCATGAAAGTGCTTATATTTACTGTTTTTTTAAATAAAGGATGCAACTCATAATAGGCAAATGGAAGAGATCCAGTGGGCAAGGTATGGGGAGGAGAGAGGGTATGGAGCTTCTGTGCCCTCTGGGCATGCCCTCCTCCCAGCACGTCGATGTGTTTCACAATCTGGAGGCTGTCTGAACCCTGTTGTTTAGGGGTTTTTAAGGAGGCTTCATTCATTACTAAGGCCAGATTGATTAAGTCATTGGCCATTGGTGATGAGCTCAATCACCAGCCACTCTCCTCCCCAGAGATGTTGGGGATGGGGAAGAAGGTAGCTGAAAGTTCCAACCCTCAAACCATACCTTGATTTTTCGGGCAGCTTGCCTCCCTCCTGAGTCTGGCTGGGGACCCCCAGCCACCAGTCGTCTCATTAGCATGCAAAAAACTGCTCTTGCCACTCCAGAGATGTAAAGGGATTTAGGAGCTGTCTGCAAGGAACTGCGGAAAAAGACCAAATATATATTTCCTACTGCATCACATGTTCAAACAAGGAATAGTGATCGATTCAATCAAAAGTGGCTTTGACCAAAGCTTTCCTTATTAAAGTGAAAAATATATGAGAAATAAGAGATAGGAAGTCCTCTGATGTCTAGTGTTCTGGGAAACAGGAAATAGCTTCTCCTTAGAACCTAAGCGCCTGAGGAGGGTCTCCTCTAAAAGTTAAACATTTTAAATTGGGAAAACAAAGCCCCTAAGCTGTCCCATCTAATCACTAAGAAAAATGTAATGGTGCTTCACTTGGCTGCCAAGACCAGCTCCAGCCCGCTGCACTGCGGGTAAGTGCTGTGTCCCAACCACGCAGATCATCAATAAATCCCATTGCCACTTCCAGAAGCTGGCATAAGCTCTTTCAGACACCTCTTCCCAGCAAGCCCCTGCAGATACCACTGCAAATGAAAAAGGAAACTTTGAGCGAGCCCTGATGGAGCTGTCCAAGTGATAATTAAAGCCCAGGTTGAGAGCACCTGATTGCTCTTTTATCTAAAGTGTGGTCATACTAATCTCACTGTGTTGTATTCTGCCCGTCTCCTTCCCTGCAGGATCTGGTGGTTGGTGGTCGTGGGTGGTCAGGAGTGTTCATTCACTGAGGAAAAATAAAGCATTCCCGAGAAGCATTTTTTTCTTCTGGTGACAATCAGTTTTTGACAAGCAAGTACTAAGGTGTAGTCATGAATTAGGAAGGGCTGAGAATGGGATTTTTTAAGCTATAAATGGCCAGATATTTTCTGAGAGGTACAGGACCAAATATTCCAGTTAATGTAAATAATAATCACCACCAGGCCTGCAGTAGGAACTTTATATATAGTATTTAATTTAATTCTCATAATCCTAACTAGGCATTATAAGCAGGAAAGGAAGAGAGGATATAGTAGCTATGTAGTGACAGAGGTGGAACTGAACTCAAATCTCTCTTACTCCAAAGTCTGTGCTCTATTCCCACTTTTTCGACACTTCCTGAGTCTTGAATAACCAGGATTTCCTAACATACAGCACATTACATCTGAGAATCAGTACCCAGAGTCCCATCTCATGAAATGCCCAGAAGGAAAATACAGCCATTTCGAAGTCCCATTAGTTACTCCTAAGTCTTTAAGGCCTTTGACTATTCTGGGAAAGCTGCTGATGCCTGAGCACTAGGTTGGCCTGCCTGCAGGCAGCCTGTCACTCAAGTTGATTCTCCAATCTGAGCTGTTTTTAGACTACCCAGAATGTTCAGGACTTTGCACACCCATTGAGTTAACTGTATGATTCATTTGCAGTTGCATTCCTCTAAAATATCTGTTCTTTGGCATCCATATATTCTTTTCTAATCTCATTCCTTTTAGTGTTGTATGCCGCATATTGACTACCCTTTCCCAGTCTCATTCATAACTGTAGCTTCAGCAGCCCCTCTCAAGGAATTTACCCGAGGTCTGGTTCTTCAGTCTGACCTCTATGAAGATCACTGTGAAACAGAAAATGGGGATGGGAATGTCCAGTCTGTTTTACAAGGTTGGAGAATTTGTGTGGTACCCAACAGTGTATATACATCCCCCTAGTAACTGTGGTTGTTTAAGAATGAAAAAAAAAATTCCATTTATGTAGATAACTTTTTTCAAATGGCTACTAAATCGTTTTGGATCTAAGTACTTAATAAACAAAACTGTTGGGTATTTCTTTTGGTTTAGGGATACCATGAAAAAAATTACTGAAAACATTGTTACCATGAACTGAGATAGTTTGAGAAGGTTTAGGAGGAAGGTATGGCCCAAGAGCATTCAAAGATCTTTGACAGTCTGGATAGATAGGAAGTCAGAAGATCACAGGAGCCACTCTACTATCTCTGAACTTCAGTGCAGATCCGCAGCTCTGTAACGTCCGTAGCCACACAGACCCCTCAGTTATCAGGGCAGATTCAGCCTTGATCTCTGCACCAAATGTGACAGCAGTCTAATGGCTGAGTCGCAGGCATGGCCTCTCATAGCGACACTGACCCCTAGAACACTGGGATCTGATATGGCTGCCGCATCCGAAGATACCACCACCTACCCTCCTCTTAGCTCCTGCAGAGGCGAAATAATGGAAATCCTGGGGCAGGAGCAGCGGTGTCTTCTTCAGCTTTTGCTTCTCCTGTGAATGTCGTAGAAGTCCATCAGTTAATGCAAAAGGAAGAGAATGTCTAATAAATCAAATGTTCTTGAGACCGTTATACTGCACAACCCCAAGCCAATTTTTTCAAGTTAGTTTTTTTAAAAGAAGTGAAAATAACAATTAAGAATCAGGAGTTTATAAGTGCTTAAGAAAATGTGTGGTGTTAGTGGAAAGAATCTGAGTTTAGTGTTCAAATCCCAGTCCAGTCCCCTAATGCTGAGTAAACTTGGATACATTTCCTAATGTTTCTGAGCCTCCTTTCTTAAACTGCCAAATGAGGGTACTGTTATTTTTCAGATTGTGATGAGGATTAAATGGTTTTGCAAATACTCAATAAATGATGGCTATAGCAACAATTGTATTTGAAATAGGTGGTATTTTTCCAGTAGGTTGAATAATAAAATATAAAATGGCACAGTCTCTGGATATATGCAAAACAGTGGTTATCTCTGAGTGGTGGGATTATGGGAAACTTTTCTAAACCATACATTTCTATAATGTTATAATTTTTGCAATATGTTTTTGTAATGAAAAAAAAATTAAACTGTCTCTGGAAGGTCAAGGAGATCTGAGATCATTACACAAATTCCAGCCCAGATACATTTAAGAGAGAGATCATGTTGACTGGCTGCCTTGGTGTTCTTTCAAGAAAGGCTCTCCTTTTCTGAACTCAAAATACTTCTGACACCAAATGTATGTTTTCCCCAATACCCGCAAATTCTTCAGTTCTCCGGACACCAAGTAGGTGTCCAGCAATTTAATTCAGTTCTGACATTCACTACACAGAGTTTGTGCAGACCCTGCAGGTTAAGGGCTCGTCCCACAAGACTCACTGATTTAAGACTCAGGCCGTGAGTCCCAGCACTGGTGCTTCTTGACCCAGTAACACTGAAAACCTGGTCTGTGCTGATACAAAGATGAGTAAGTCCTTGCCTTCAAGGTCTTCATAGTCAAGTATATTTTCCTCCTACTTCTAACTATACTATCTCCCAGTTACCCCAGCCACACTTAAAACTTCACTTACCGCTTCTTGCCGATGATTCTCAAATCCGTATCTTTAAACCAGAGTGTAGCTAACTTTAGACCTCTATCCAGATGCTTATTGAATATGTTCACTTTGATGTTCCTTAGGTACGTCAAACTCAAGTATACTCTAAACTGAACCTATCTTTACCCCTCCCAAAGTGTCAACCACAATCTCCCAACAAATCAAAACTGAACTAAACTAAAAACTACCTGCATTTCCTTTGTTCCCTGTGTAGGTTAAGGACATTGTCTAGTCAGTATCTCATGCAAACCACCATCCTTGACTTAATCTCATTTACCCCTTACTCCAAAATTTTACCTCCTTTCTATCTTTGTATCATTGTCCCTTTTCTATTCTCCCTGTTACTATCTTCCGTCAAGTTATTACCACTTCGTGGACTGGACACTGGAATTAACATGGCCTCCTATTCAGACTTCCTGCTTCCATCTGACTCCTCTCTAATCTGGCCCCCTACTTGCTGCCATGTCGATCTTTTAATAGGGCATGTCACACCGTATCACTCTGCAGCTTAAAACTCCATATGATTCTCAGTCCCACTGGGAATGTCAGTATTTGGCCCAAGTAACCCTCCCCTCCTGAACCCAGGGCAGATCATTTTTTCTATGTGTGATAAGGCCTAAGATTACCTCTCACTGTAACACTGTAGGCAGCCATTATTATTTGGTATGGATTGGCACTGAGATTAGCAGTATTTGATTGGCACTGATATGAAATCTGGCCTCCCTGACTGCAAGGATCAAGTTTAAACTCTGTAGTTTAGCACATAAATCCCTTTATAATTGAAACTTGTGTCCTGCCCCTTCCCACTTCCTGCCCTGGGTCTCTCCTCAAAACCCAGCCTAAGTACACCTCTGAGAAAACATTTTCCAGTATATTCTCCCCATCCTACCAGATGGATTATGATTCTTCTACTTGTGTTAGCACCCTATGCACACACGCACCTTTGTTACAGTGCTAGGGCACTCTAGAACCATACCTTGTACTATAGATTGACTTACTTAAATGTCTCCCTGCTCCGCTCTAAGCTTCTTAAGGCAAGATATACCTTGGGTTTTTTTGCCACAAGTTTAGCACAGGTGTAGTGCATAAGATGCTTTCAATAAATGTGAAAGAAATACAAGAGTGTGTGTTTGCTACATTTGACAGCAGTAGAACAGAATGGATCCCTAGGAGTCACTCAACATGCAGTTGTCTATCCCCTACCACTATAAATATTTCCTTGGAAAGAGTTTTGCACAACCATCTCAAAACCTGACTATCAAAAGATCTTCTAGTGTTGAATTGTCATAATTCTAACTACTACTCTGCCTTGAGTAGAAATGGACACATGCTTGTTAAAATAATTCTGTATATTTCCAAGAGGTAAGCCCTCTCACCATGCTGTTTAGAATCACTCTATAGTGAGCCACAGTTACTAATGGAAATATGTAGGTAGGGGTAGAAACTAGGTGACAGCTATTGTGGTAGAGATTGTTTCTTTTAACAGTTATTGAGACATAATTCACATACCATGTAGTTCACTTATTTAAGGTGTACAATTCAGTGGTTTTTAGTATTTTCACAGAATTATGCAATAATCATCACAATTTTAGAACATTTTAGTATTTCCAGAAGGAAACCCTGTATCCATTAGCAGTCACACCCCGTTTACTCCCAGTGCTCTAGCCCAAGGCAACCACTTACCTGCTTTGACTCTGTAGACGGTCTATACCAAACATTTCATATACATGGAATCATGTAATATGTGGTCCTTTGTGACTGGTGCCTTTCACTTAGCATAATGTTTTCAAAGTTCATCCATGGTGTAGCATGTATCAGTACTCATTTCTTCTTATTGCTGAATAATGTTCCATTGTATGGATATACCATATTTAATTCACCCATTCATCAAATGATGGATATTTGGTTGGTTCCACTTTTTGGCTGTTGTAAATAATGCTGCTGTTAATAAGTGTGTAAACATTTTTCTGTGGCCTTATGTTTCATTGTTTTGGGTATATACCTAGAGTGGAATTTCTGGGTCATATGGTAACTCTGTTAACATAAGAAGCTGCCAGACTTTTTTTCCAAAGTGGCTGCACCATTTCACATTCCCACCAACAATGTATGAGGGTTCCCATTTCTCTACATTCTTGCCAACACTGTTGTTATCTGTCTTCTTATAATTTTTGTTATATATAAACACATTTGACATTTATGTAAATGAATATATTGTATGTAAATACACATATTTTTTCCTTCGCTTTTTAAAATTAAAGTATCTTTGATACACAGTCTTATGTTGATTTCCAATATGCAACACAGTGGTTCAACAGTTACTCATATTATTAAATCCTTACCCCCTCTAGTATGGTTACTATCTGTCAACATAATAGATGTTACTGAATCATTGACTAGTAAATACACATATAATTTTATATTTAGATACATTATAGGGACCTAGTAGGTATGATGTACTTCTCATTATGGTTTTGATACACATTTCCCTAATAGCTAATGGTTGTTGAGCATCTTTTCATATACTTATTGGCCATTTATTTATCTTCTTTGGAGAGAGAGATCTATTCAGATCCTTTGCCCATTTTTTAAATTTTTTTATTGTTTATTACTGAATGTAAGAGTTCTTAATATATTCTGGAAACAAGTCCCTTACCAGACATCCAATTTGCAAATGTTTTGTTATTCTATGTGTTGTCTTTTTACTTTCTTATGGAACGTCTATAGCACGAAAATTTTAAATTTTAATGAAGTCCAGTTTATCTGTTCCTTTGGTGCTTGTGGTTTTGGCATCGCATCTGTGAAACCACTGCCTAACCCAAGGTCATAAGATTTACTTCTATGTTTTCTTCTAGTAGTTTTATGGTTTTAGTTCTTACATTTGGGTCTGTGATCCATTTTGAGTTAAATTTTTTTGTAATAGAGATTTGAATGACAAGTTTTTTCTCAGCCTTTTCCTTGGTCTGAATATACTGTTTTTACTTTTTCTTACTGAGATGATAATACAGATGCAGCCAGATGGGAACTTCTAAAGTGGTAGGTGAAATTTTTGCAGAAAGCAATGTTGAAAGGGGGAATAATATGTTAAAATGTACAAATTTAGATGAGGCTCAGATCCCAGGTAGCCTGTCTGCCACTACAAACATGAACATTAGTTTAAGTCCTCCCCATTTCAAAATGATTTTGAATTGTACGAGGTGTCAGGGCTGTCATAAAGCCCGGTTTTATGTGCGTTACGTGAGTGGCAGCTGCTGGGCAGTTGTGATGGGCTTCCTTGGTTTTCTCCTCAGGGGTCTCGCTCTTTGGCCTGTCGGCCCTGTTGGTCCCTGGGAGCTTTGAGTCTCATTTGGAACTTGTGCGATCCCTGTGTCTGGGGCCAGCACTCATCCACACGGCCAAGTTTGCCCTCGCCTTCCCTCTCATGTATCACACCTGGAATGGGATCCGGCACTTGGTAAGTTCATTGTAGATTTGTACATATTCCAAGGGAAGGGAATAGAGAGCTTGGGAGGATTGTCTCCTTCCTGGTCTGGGCTTAGAGCTATTCTTAGTTGTGCTGGACTTTGCTCCCGGGGCCTCTTTGAGGAAACTACACTAGGCCTCCTGTGCATTCCTTGGCAGCCCTGCTGCTGTTCTAGCTGGGCCCTGGGTACAGGCCTGGCGGGTATTTGCAGGGTCTCGGTGTGAACTCATCCAGTTTTGAGAGGCATATTACTAAGAGAGACCCCTGAAGCCAGGTCATACATCTGGCATAGAAGGCATATCTATCTAACAAATTCATACCTACTGTGTGTCAGGCACTGTTCTAAACAAAGGGGGTCCAATTACGGGCTAGACAAACATGGCTGCTGCTTTCCGCCTAACACTCCTGCTAACCCAGAGTGGCAAGTTTGGCTGGAGTCAGATAGATTAAATGTTGCTCTCTTGATACTGGATTGCATGAACTGTTTCGGTTTTTTGTTTGTTTTGAGCTATTGGAGATAATGGGGAACTTTAACAGAAACTTGGTGCCTAGGATCCCAGATTTAATATTAGGTTTAGGAATCCTTGATGGCCTAAAAACCGTCCATGCTACCTCCTGTGTGACTCTGGGGTCAGTTCAAAACGGGTGTCTCCTTCTCTTTATAAAAGAATTAAAGCTTAATCAAACCTGCCCCAGGTCAGAGATCAGTCCCTCCTCCAGCATTTTAAGATTTCCTATTTTGTGTCTTCCCTACCCTTATCTTGCTGCTTTTCCCAGGAAGACAGTTTTCAATTCTATCCCTCCTCATTTTCGGTTACTTGAGAGTCTGAACCATCTGCCAGATGGATACTCTTGCCTAAATTCAACCTTTTACAGCTTCCACTTTAACAACTAGAGACAAACACTTTCTGCATTCTGGTCTGGTCCAACAGACAGTTTAATAGAATCAGAAAAGTGAGAGACTAAATGACCTATTAAATTAAGTGTTATCTATCAACTGTCCCTGGGGTAGTGTTCAGTTTAATTCAAAATGACTTCACTTGCCTCCGGGGGAGGAGATGGACTGGAAGAGCATTTCCATTAATGGCTTCTTCTTCCCCGAACAAAGCTGTCTGATGAAAATCAGCTCATCAGCTTCCTCTGCGCCAGTCCGCTCCGCTTGCCTTGTATTTTCTTTTGTCTCAGGTTGGGAGGAGGGAGAGGGGAGAGGCTTTACAAGATCTCAACACTCAGTGAAGGGTTTTCTGCCCTGGTTCCTGCCCGTAATGGCAATAATCCCTTTGTTGAGGGAAGTGAGACACCTAAAGGCTTTTTCTTAAGCCCTTAAATCTGCTTTTGTTTTTTTTTATGGTAAGTGCTGGCTCAGCGTGTGGGAAGGATCTCATCTGTTCTCTAGTGCCAGTCCGTAGTTCTTGCCCTCTGAGCTTGGTAGTTGCCTTGGCAGGTCTCCTGGGGGAGTGGAGAGAGGGACTGATGCACGGGTGGGAAGTGACAGGGTCTCTGGCATTCGAGAGACTATCCACCTATCACCACCACCCAGTAGGACTCCATTTTTTTGGCAAAACACTGACCCTGTATAAGCAAAACAGCTTTATGTGGCATCCAGGTAGAAGCTGTGTGGGGGTTGAGGTGGGGGTATCCTCTCATCTTGATTTTTTGTTCTTGGCTCCCTCTTTTATCTGAAGGATTCCTTATTTAGTCAGTTTTACACCGTGTGTGTGTGTGCATGTGTGTGTGTGCGCGCGCACGCGCGTGTATGTGTGTGTGTTGGGGTCTTCGTGGATGGAAAAGGATAGAACCTAAAGACTCCTTTTGCCCCAAAGGATCTTTTGGTGACTTAGAGTATAATATGTTAATATCTGTTAAAAAACAATATTCATCCAAGTAAATTTGAAGATCTAATTGGCTTCATTAAGCAATTTGACCTGGGCAGCATCCCCTGTAGCAAGCAGAGAGATGCTTGAGAAGTTGTACAAAATAGAAGGTTTTTATAGGGTGGGGGGCGTTATTAGCAAAAGAAGAAAAAAGGATTGTTTCGAGGAAGGTTGCTTTCTCTGAGGGGAAAGCAGGGGTCCTTACAGATTAGCCATCTTCCTCTAGGGAAAGCCAAGAAGGCTCCCATGACAGATGACCTCATTAATGATGCTGACCAGAACATTCCTGACGACTACATTTCTGGGGGAGGTTGAGACTGTCGTTGGGCTTAAATATTCAGCCCTGGTTTGGTGACTTGCCTAGAGAAGTGACACCGTGTTCGGCCTGTGTCTTTCCTTTTAACATATCCCTAGGGCACAAGAGAGTCTAGGTCAGGGTTTTTAAAATTGAGAGCAGACTCACAGACTCCAAGAAGGGTCTAGCGGTTACCAAAGGGAAGGGGGGTGGGGAGGGAGGGAGAAGGGGATTAAGGGGTGTTATGAACAGCACACATAAAGTAAAGTAGGGGGGCACAGGGAAGGCAGTATAGCACAGAGAAGCAGTGACTGTAGCGTCTTCCTTCGCTGATGGACAGTGACTGCAATGGGGAGGGGTGGGGGGACTTGATAATCTGGGTGAATGTTGCAACCACAATTTTGCTCATGTGAAACCTTCATAAGATTGTATATCAACGATACCTTAATAAAAAAAATTGTGGTTTTTGACCTCATGGGTAGAAAATCAATTTAGTGGGTTGCTACCACCAAATCAGGAATACAGTATATAGACTGTAGCATACATAGTGGTGGTAAATACTGCTTATTGTTTCATGCACTTTTGCTTTATATATATCTGGAAGATGAAATTGAGAAGTAATGTGTAGAGAAGTAGTGTCCTAGCTCCTGGAGAGTGTTGTTCAGACTGCTAGTTCTCCAGCAGACAGATGTGACCTCTCAAAAGGGATCCTATATCTGGGAAATCATGTGTATTACATCCTTGAGATCCACTGTGCATTAATGAAGGATTTGAGAAATCTTGCAGATAGATGTCACCAAATTTATTTTACCACAGAACTTTTTTTCTGTGTAATAATACCATTCAGCGTTCTGAGAAACTAGCAGTTGAAGGAACACACTTTGGGCAACGATCTCGGGTGGTGTAAGGGAGTTTTCTCTCTTCAGTCTGGAGGCGTCCGTGTGTAGGGGCTGTGTCTATCCCCTTTTCTGCCAGTGGGATAAGTGGGTGGTAGGTCCCTGTCACTGTGGGTTTTTAGGGAAGTGAAGGTGGGACATGGTTGAAGTGCTGTTCACCCCGGAACCACGCGGAGAAGGGTTGCCTTTCTGAGAATGATGAGGGCCATGATTGCTGAAATTCTCCATTTCTTTTTCTCTTTTTCCACAGGTGTGGGACCTAGGAAAAGGGCTGCAGCTCCCTCAGGTCCACCAGTCTGGCGTGGCTGTCCTGGTTCTCACTGTGCTGTCCTCTTTGGGGCTGGCAGCCATGTGAAGAGCTACGCTTCCAGGGTTGTCATCCTCCTGCAGATGATTAAATTGACCTATCTTCCTGTTGTCACTCTTACCTGCAGCCAGGGCACAGTTCTCCTGATTCGTTAGACCCTGCTGTGCTGTGCTCTCCTTGGAGCCCCGCAGCGGTAGATTGCCTACTAGAACCATAGAAGTGGAAAAGGGCCCAGTTTCCCCCTTGTTTCTAAAGATGGTATGACGGCAAAAACTCCCTTTTCCTGCCCCCAGCTTGCAGCCTACTCTGGGCCACGCAGCCCTCATTCTCAATCCCTATTGGGCCTTGATTTGTGCTGAGGGTCAGCTTTTGGCTCCTTCTTCAGACAGTGGAAACAATGCCAGCTCTGTGGCCTGTGCCATGGGGACTGGGATGGCGCTTTGGGTGCCACCGCCTGTGGGTTGCTGGCTTAAAGGACAGTTCTGTTCATTGGTCAGGGCCCAGGGTCTTTAGCACCCACACAGTGTGACTGAACAGAGCGGGGTGGGTTGGAGGGGGATGAGCTTCCTGCAGATAGGAGGGGATGAAGAGGGTGAGCTGGCTCCTCAAGCAGGTGCTTTGGGAAGAAAGTACATAGCTTTTGATTCGAGAAAAATTCAGAAAATTACTGTTGAACCTATTAAAAATTATTATTTTCCTTGCATTTCTAGAAAAACAAGCCTCTTAATATCATGTTTTCTAACCCAAATGCCTATGACATCTTTTCAGAAACAATTAAAATACTCATTTTGTCTTTGACTCTCCTTGAAATCTAGAGAAATCAAGAGAATGGCTGTTGGGGAAGAGCCAGTTTACTCCGCCTCCCCCTGGTCTCAGGCATTTCGTCCCCCAACCTGACCTTTCTCAGGAGGGAAACAGATTATCCCAGAACTAACCATGGGAAAAGCATTCAGGGAATTGCATACAAGCAGCCTGAGATTTAATACCATACAGAAGCCTCAGAATGAAGGAGCAAGAGAAAGGAAGTTAAGCATGAGAAGCTTTGGGGGTATTACTGACTCCAGAATCCCACTGGACTAGTTATAAGCCTCATCGGACAGTTCAGCAAATTGTGATCCAGGAAGGGTGCCAGAGGACTGGCAGAGGTGACAGCGAAGGGGTGGTGAGCTGAGGGTGTAAACTGGGAGAGAAGGGAAGGATTGTTGAAAATCTAGCAAAATTTGTAATTTAATGAGAAAACTTGCTGCTCTTATAATCCATTTAGGCCGAGCTTTTAAGTCCCTAACTTGCTTGGCAGGAATGTGTTTTGCTAAAAGTCTTTGGAAATCCTGGGGTTACGGATCTGTGTTGTCTGTCACTGAATTGCTGGTCAACCAGTTAAAGCTGAGCGTTGGAAAAGAGGAACAATGACTGTAACTAGGGTCATTTGGAGAGGAAGACCGTGCTGAGGCTGAGACAGTGGCCAGACGCCTCAGCAGTTCCTCCCAGTAGCATTTGGCTTTAAGTTATGATCACTTCTCCCTATTTGGCTAGACTGGTCTTGCCGGATGTCTTGGTAGCCTTCCTCCACTTTAAACCGTGTGTCCTCTGTACTTGTCCTTGGATTGAGGGACAGATACATTCACGAGAGAACGTTTGGTACTGGAACAGGGAAAGGTTCGGCAAGGGCATGAAGTTTAACAGCAGGAAGTTTAACCAGGAAGATGCAGAATAGGCACCGTGATAAACTGACGTTGGGAGCTGGGAAACGGAGAGGGGGCCTCCCGACTGTCCTGGCGGCTCCTTACCGCTCAGGTGCTGGGGGAGTGGTCGTCATGTTTGACATTCTGCCCTAAATTTCTACCTACCATCTCTTTTTCTTCTCTGTCTTTTAATTCTCTACCTTCAGTTTTTAAATTATATATGCACTTCTGCTTGAGTTTTGCATTTGTAACTGTGATTTGTCTTTGCTCCATATTGTGTCATCAGATACGAAGTCTTAGGGATAGTGTCGTCTGCTCAGGCTTTCTATGCCTTTCCTTACCCTTGGGGAAGCAAAAATGTATTCAACACACATGATATACTCTACTAAACAACTGTATTTCTGACTTTAAAGTTGTAGTTGTGCTTGGGATAAAAATGGGGTGTGTGTGTGTGTGAGGGACTGGTTCTTTGAGGTTTCTTTTGCTGCAGTTCGGACCAGTTCCCTCTTGGCTGTTTCTGGAGTAGAACTGACCCAGTCCTTATAAAAATGTGTTCCACCCCGAGCCACAGTCCTCTTTTCCCTACTCTTGCTTCCCCCAGCCCTGCCTCGTCTAGTCACGGCTTTAAAGAGGGAGCTGCTAACAGGAAGACAAATTCCAAGTCAGGGAAAGAGTCAACCAATGATGTTTATTTTCCAATTTGCCTTTACTCCCACCCCATAATCTCCTTGTTCTACATTCCTGATTGGGGGGCTCTTTTAACCTCTTACAGTCTCTAGATAGGTTTTCTCATTGTGGCGCCTTCAGGAGTCCCAGGTCCGCATTTGTGCAACTCAGCTTGCTTTGGGTCTGCTGGGGCTGCCAGCTTACGTGGAAAGTTGGTGGGGCTTTGGGGACCTGGAGTGTGACCTGCAGAGGGGTGTGAGCTTTGGGGTTGGTCAGGGGAAGTGAGATTTGCGGCTGGGGGCCTTGGGATCAGCGTTGGACTTGGTGCTTGTTGCACAGCCTTTGTGGTAGACTTTGCGAGTTTCTTCTGACTGACTGGATCGTGGGGCTGTTGGGTGGAATAGAAGAGACAGTCATGTTTCAGACAGGCCTAGATCATTCCCAGTTCATCTCAGAAGTCTCCTTTCTTCCATACCATGGACAGAAGGTCAGGTTCAAATAAGAGTTAAATTTGATTCCGGTAACATCCCCTGGAGATCAGATCATTTTGTACTGTCATGGGTAAGATATCCTTAGCTCATCCCTTCAGGCCTCAGAAGGCGGTTAGGGCCCGGACAGGGTATGATGAAATTGGTTAGAGGTTCCCCTTGCTGGGCTAGTGGCGGTATGATAATAGGCATTTTTAGGTTGAAAAGGAATGGACACAACAGGATTTGAGGTTAGGTAGGAAGAATAGATACCTTGCCTAAGATTTCAGGATGTAGCCCATTGGAGGCCTTTAGTAAATCTGGATTTTTCTGTATCCATTTGGTGAGGGAAGCAGCACCAGCAGCTGTTCGGGAGGTCAAGGTCACCCGAGCAGGGGGTATCTTCAGAGGCATTTGCCAGGTGCCCATGAAAGACCCCCAAGGGTTGGCCTAAAAGGAAAATAGTGAGGTTCATCAACAGGGCTTCTCACTCCTGCTCACTGACCTGTTGGCAGGGTCACTGTTCGTCTTTACCTTTGGGAACGCGTGGTAGTGAAATACACTACAAGCGTGATCTCCCCACTCTCCCTTCTCCCGCTCCCTTGTTATGGTACCCTGGTTTTCTCCATCACCTTACTTCTGCTTACTTAAATTATGCATCCTTAGACTAAGTTTGGCTAAGTTGGACTAAAGTACCCACCATGTAAGTATCATCACCTGAAGGGCTTCATTTTATACAGGTCATTCATCAATTTGAATAATTCTGGACACTAAACACAACTCTGCCCTGTTGGACAAACTGCCTGAAAGTTTGGGGGCATTCATGTTACAATGTGAATTAGGTTGAACTTTAATTTTCCAGTTAGTGGCTGTGGGAGGCGGCAAGTCTCCCATCTTTGTCACTGCCTCAGGTCTTTAACTTTCTTGGTAGGAGTGGAGGTGAGTGTCTCACCTTGGAACGGGGCACTGAAGGCAGCAGGTGACCACGATCATTGGCGATAATCTGAGTGTAGCCTTCGTGGGAAGAAATGCCCTGGGGGAGAGAAGTGCTTGTGAAAATGGACCGGAAAAGAGGGAAAGCATAGGGGCCTTGTCCCTTAAGGGTGAAAGAAGGCAAGAAGGAGTTAGGAGCCTGTGAATTACATAGAGCGTGGTAGAAAGAACCAGAAACTGGCCTTGTGGGTGCACTGAATGTGGAATACCTCTTTTGTTGGCTTGGCAGGAGACCAGTTCTGCAGATACTTGGGTGAGAAAGCTTTTTCATACTGTGGAGAGACAGAAGAGAATCCTGGTGAGACTCAAAGGCCCAGTTCTTTAGGTTTGAAGACCAAAGACCTGAACAGCCATGCTAGGCTTTAACTCAGGGTAGAAAGATTGTAATTTGGTCTGATGTGTGCTCTCCAACATGGAGCCACTTAGTCACATGTGACTACTGAGCCCTTGAAATGTGACTAGTCCAAATCAAGGTGCTTTATAAAATACACTGGGTTTTTAGGTGGAGAAAGACAAGTACCAAATGATTTCACTCATGTGGAGTATAAGAACAAAGAAAAACTGAAGGAACAAAACAGCAGCAGAATCACAGAACCCAAGAATGGACTAACAGTCACCAAAGGGAAAGGGACTGGGGAGGGTGGGTGGGAAGGGAGGGATAAGGGTGGGGGGAAAAAAGGGGGCATTATGATTAGCATGTATAATGGGGGGGGCATGGGGTGGGGCAGTTGATTTGATAAAAGGGAATAGTAGCTTTGTATCAAAATTAAGTGAAATGTTCCCTCATCCCAAAAGAATTCTACTTTTTTCATGAGTATTACAAAAAATTGCATTCAGTTATTACATTTTGAGTTTTGTCAAAAACTATGGAAAAACACTTTCTTGTTATGTTAAGTACTTACATAATATCTCTGACTTTGTCACTTTGCCCACAAAAAAGCCCAAAATATTTACTCCTGCCCTTCACAGGAAACATTTGCTGACCTCTGGTTTAGACCCTACAAACTTAACCCAGAGATACCTTCTCCTTGTCCCTGGGCCCTGTCTACCCCGAGGAGCCAAGGACGTGAAAAGTACTATCTCACCCTATTCTTAGCCATCTATTCAATGATCGGAGTCCCAGGGGAGGGTCCGGCCAAAGGAAGGCAAACTTAAAGAGATGGAAAAAGAGAACTTACCTGGTTCGCACTGTAGTTAGTAGCCATGATGCTACTTCCTGCTGTGTGTTTACCTTTGTTGCCTGGCAACCGCAGAAGGCAGCCCTTCCGGGTCTACTTAACAATTAGCAGGATTGTCTTCCCCCTGTACATGTTACACTTGCGGCTGACACTAGCTTAACGTTTTTCTGTGAAACTTAGGCTCATTTTCATTTTAGAGATGTAGGAGACTGTAAAAAACATGAACAAATTAGCTGAATAGCAGCCCTTTTTTCTAGTATAACTTACCCTGCTTTAAGAACTTCTGATTGTATTTAGGGTTTTTAACCACTTTAACAAATCATGGAACCCCAAGAACTGTGTCCATTGGGCAGTGAGATGTAATATACCAGAGACTTTAGAGTCAAGGCACTGAGGTTTGAGTCATTACATGGCAGAGGAGCTGTGTGACATTAAGCAACTAGCTTCCCTTCACTCAATTTTCTGTATACTCACTTGCATTGTGAAGTGACTAGAGCTTGCCTTTACAGGGTAAATAAAATAAGGTATAAAGCGTCTAATCAGTATCATAGCATAGTAGGTTCTCAGGAGTAGTGAGACCCAATTGATATGGTCCACGACTTAACTTTCTCAGGCAGAAAAACAAGTAATGTTTTAAAAAGCGACCAACTCAGATTTGTCCCCAGAGGGAAAAACATATTTTGTCCTTGGTCCTTAAATGACTCCTGTCTCTCCCATCACTCTCTAGAATCACAGGGCATAAGAACCCAAGTGCTTGGCCTTGGCTGGGATGAGGTAGAATCAGGAGCTAATGCCAAGAGAAGGGGCAGGTG